AATGTTGTCCCGATTTCAAAAAATTGTTCATAATATTTAAAAAATATATATTAATTAGCAAATATAGCTTAGTTAACAAATAATTCATTCAATTTTTTTTTTGTTTCAAAATCTGTAAAAACATTGTTAATAGGTCTACAAGCAATTATTCATTCACAAAAACACTCGCCCCCATCGTTAAATATGAGAAAAAAAATAATATTTTAATTAACTACACTTCGCGTCAAATTTAACGCACCACTAAAAGTTTGTCACATTTTCAAAGTTGATTTTCTCGCGAACCGTCAAACCGAATTTGGTAATTTTTGTTTTAAAATTGAGGTTAATTCTTTGGTTATGATGCCTTTATTAAAAAATTCTTTTAAATTTAAGTTTTGAGTATATACATATTTAACCGTCAAACCGAATTTGGTGATTTTTATAATAAATTGTAGGTTTATTCTTCGGTAATAATGCGTTTATTAAAATATTTTTTTAAATTAACATTTTGTGTATATATAGGGTGCAAGTGTAATAATTAGTTTTTTTCCGGAAATTTGAAACGCCCTGTTGGTTGTACCAGCTATAACAGCATATGTCTCATAATCAAACTATAGCCCCATGTTCTCTTAACATTTTGTATTTTTATTCACCGGGTTATCTTTATTTTTAAATGAAATATACATTTAAAGATTAAAAATTAAGGTACCATGAATAGTGTACGATATATCGAGGACATTTTATTTGAGCATGTTGTCCCTTTCGCCCGGTAATAATTTTTTACTGATGCAGGATAATGCTATATAGTGCAAGAGTACTTACATGAGGTGGGTGTTAAAACTTTAGACTGGCCTGCAAATAGTCCGGATCTCAACACCATCGAGCATTTGTGGGATAATATGGGTAGACGACTAAGAAATCATGATCCCTTGCCTGCCTCCCTTGATGACGTAGCAAATATGCTACGAGAAATATGAAATGTCATTGATCAAGACGAGATTAGACATCTGGTTTCGAGTGTGAGCCGTCGATGTGAAGCCGTAATTAGAAGTAGAGGCAGAAATACGCGATATTGATATTCTTTAATGTTGGTTTTATTGATTTTGTTAATATTTTTGTTGTTATTGTTACAATCGTTCTTTTTACATTTTTGTATTAAACTGGAGTTCTTTAATATTTCATTTAAAAATAAAGATAACGCGGTGAATCAAAAAACAAAATGTTAAGAGAAGATGTGGCTATAGTTTGATTATAAGATACATATGCTGTTATAGCTGGTACAATCCACAGGGCGTTTTAAATTTCCGGGAAAAAACTTATTATCACTCTTGCACCCTGTATATACTCAAAATGTTAATTTAAAAAAATATTTTAATAAACGCATTATTACCGAAGAATAACCCTACAATTTATTATAAAAATCACTAAATTCGGTTTGACGGTTCGCGAGAAAATCAACTTTGAAAATGTGACAAACTTTTAGTGGTGCGTTAAATTTGACGCGAAGTGTAGTTAATTAAAATATTATTTTTTTTCTCATATTTAACGATGGGGGCGAGTGTTTTTGTGAATGAATAATTGCTTGTAGACTTATTAACAATGTTTTTACAGATTTTGAAACAAAAAAAAAATTGAATGAATTATTTGTTAACTAAGCTATATTTGCTAATTAATATATATTTTTTAAATATTATGAACAATTTTTTGAAATCGGGACAACATTGTTTATTAGAATAATCAATAAGAGTCCACCAAAAAAAAATTCAACCATTTTCATTCAAATTTGTATGAAATATGCCTACTTGTTTATAGCAATGCATTTGAGATGCGTGATTTTTCTAAATTAAACAATTGCGTTGAGCGACCTCTAAATTTTAATTGATTTCTCTCAAATTTTTACAGATTTTTATTTTCTTGATACTCTTTGAAAACCCGAGTGGTCTCACATAGAATTCAAAAAAAATTTTTTTTTGCATCACCCTAGTGTCCAATAATAAGCTTTCCGATAAAAATGAAGTATGAAAATAAAAAATGGTTTAATACAACAATAATGGAGCTCATAAAAAAGAGGGATTTGATTTATCGAAAAGCTATCTTTACAAATTTGGAAACAGATTGGGAGGAATACAAACAAGCTCGTAACACTGTAGTAAAAACAATTAGAACTTCCAAAGAAAATTATTATATTGATATTCTGGACAACAATAAATATAACAGCAGGAGGCTATGGAAAAGCTTAAAAACATTATTACCGAATAATAAAAACGAAGTTATATTAAAAATTAATTTTAATAATAAAATAGTTAACAATAAGATTGAAATAGCAGAGAGTTTTAATATATTTTTTCTGGAAAGTATTGAACATATAATAAAAAATATACCAAAGCGAAGTATGGATGTACTTAAAAATGTACCATTTGTTGCAAAATTTAATAAATTTAAATATGTGGATATCGAAAGATTAAAGAAAATATTAATAACATTAAAAAACACAGGGGAAGTTTTGGATGGTATATCGGTTTCAATTTTAAAGGATGCTTGTTTGGTAGCTGCCAATAGACTTTTAGATGTTATCAATACCTCTCTCCAAGAAGGGGTGTTTCCTACAGATTGGAAGACATCATGCATCATACCAGTTCCCAAGGTTTCTGGAACCATCCTCCCAGAAGAGTTTCGACCAATTAATGTTGTACCACCTTATGAAAAAATCTTGGAAATCTGTGTCAAGGACCAAATTACAGAATATTGTGATCAGCATAACATTATTGTTCAAAATCAATCTGGTTTTAGGAAAAATCATTCATGTGAATCTGTGATAATTGACAACTGTGATAATTGGCTTAGAGAAATTGATAAAAATAATATAGTGTTAACTGTTTTCTTAGATTTTAAGCGTGCTTTTGAAACAATTGATAGGAATTTACTTTTAAAAAAATTAAATAAAATAGGAATCTGTGATAATGCGTTAAAATGGTTTAATTCTTATTTAAACAACAGAGTACAAATTACTAAAGTTAATAATGTTTTGTCCAGTAAACGTAGTTCCTTGTATGGCGTCCCTCAGGGCACAGTCTTAGGTCCTTTATTATTTATACTTTATATTAATGATATTATAAAATGTGTTAATAAATGTAAGATATCTTTGTTTGCTGATGATACAATGCTTTATGTTTGTGGTAATAATTTGGACGATTTATTTAATATTGTAAATGCAGAACTTACAAATATTTTTAACTGGCTATGTTGCAATAATATGTGTATTAATATTAAAAAGTCTAAATATTTAGTCATTGGATCTCGTTATAGTTTAAGCAAATATGTTTTAAATAATTTTAAAGTGTATATAAATGGAGATATGTTGGAAAGAGTTGATAGTATTAAGTACCTTGGTGTTATGTTAGATAAAAATTTGAATTTTAAATCTCATGTTAATTATTTACTGAATAAAATCTCTAAAAAAATTTATTTTTTAGGTAGAATAGGTAGTTATGTCTCAATGTATGTTAAATTATTATTATATAAATCTATAATTGCTCCACATTTTAATTTTTGCTCTACTATTTTGTTTGGAATTAATAAAAATGAACTTGATAAACTTCAAAAACTACAGAACAAGGCCCTAAGAATAATTCTACAATGTAATAAATATACACCTATAAACTTAATGTTGGAAACTCTAAATTTAATGAATATAAAGCAGTATATCACATACAACTCCTTAATGTTTTTATTTAAAATTAAAATAGGTTTATCACCAAATTATTTAAATTCAAGATTGATTCAAATACAAGAGATACATAACTATAATACCAGACACGTAACAGACTTCTATGTTGAACACTTTAATAAATTCCATACTTGTAAAAATGTCCTAATAAATGGAATTAAATTATTTAATGAGTTACCTAGGCCAATTAAAGACTGTACTAATGTAAATAGCTTTAAGCACTTACTTATGGAACATATTAAAATATCGAATTGTTTTCTGTAATAGCTTTTGCTAAATAAAGATTATTTTATTTTATTTTTATTTTTTATTTTTAATAATGACAACAAAACAACGCAAGAACAAATTCAAAATGACATTAACAAACTACTTAAATGGACAAACACAAACAAGTTAACGTTAAATAGTAAAAAATGTTATCTGATACATTTTGAAAACAAAATAAAAAACCATAACCTAAATATAAAAATCGGAAATGATGCTATTAGCAAAGAAACAAAAATTAAATACTTAGGTCTTATTCTTGACAAAAATTTAAAGTGGACATCACAAATAAGAGCTCAAAACAAAAAAATGGCATATTATAATGGACTAGCGCATAAGGTAACTGATGTACTGCAGGAAAAGGAAAGGAAACTGATATATGAAGCCTATATTAAAAGCAAGCTGTCTTACCTAATATCATTCTGGGCAACAGGAAACAAAAAATAATTGACAAATTGCAAAGAAACCAAAATAAACTATTAAAAGCTTTGCACAGACTACCAAGGCATACTGCAACAACTAAAGTATGCCGTAAAACAAAAACCTTAACAATAGAAGAACTTAGAAAGCTGGAGACCATAAAATTGGTAAGGAAAATGTTAAACAAACAAATCCAAGACGAAGATATAGAAATAACAACAAGAGCCGATGTACATCAATACAGCACCAGAGGAAATCAAGAACTAAATTTTGTCACACATAAAACCAAAATAGGCGAAAAACGAATACTTACAGAAGGCATCAAAATATACAACAAATTACCAAATGAGATCAAACAGCAAAATGTAATAGAGTTTGTTAAGAGCGTCAAGCAATATTTACCAAAGACAAGAAAACTAGTGTACATAGGTAGATACTTGTTAATTATTTATAAAGATTTAATTTATTCGACCAAGGACAAAGATTAGTGTACATAGCCAACTTCAAATTATTTATAAATGACCCATGTATAATTTAATTATTTATTGATAAATGTTAATTTTAAATTTATTTGTAAATTACATATCTGTCAAAGCCCCCCCAAACTCACCTATACGTATTCTGCGCGTCAAATGTATGGCGTAAGTGATGGCCACCCATCGTTCTAATGTGACCACTGTCAAGGTAAATATCGATAGATGGCTGGCGAATACGGTGAGAAAGCCGGCTAGCTGACATCCCAATCCTGAAAAATTACAAAGGATGTAGTTTAGGTCCCATGAAGAGAATTTTATTTATTTATTCCTTCAACCTTCAGTATATGTAGCCTTTTTTTCTTCATAGAAATGACCTTTAGGAACGTTAAATACTCAATATTCCATAACTCAAGTTTCTATCGCTAATTCTCTAAGTAAAACATTTTTAGGAAAAAAATTGAAACTACACTGTTATAAAAATCAGATCTGTTAACATGAGTTCGTAGTTTGTTAATTTTATTTTGTAATTATTTTAACAAAGGAAAATATTTTACCAAAAGTTACGAATTATTTTCCCACTAACAAAACGCATCAACAAGTTCAACTGACTGCACCGTCTGCAACATAATATGTTTCTGCTTACTTTATTCTAATTCAAAACGTGTTTGTAAGAACTGTCCAGAGAGTTATTATTATAATATAAGATGGCATCACTGGGATATTTTTCCCTTCCATGAAAAATTTCTATAGATTTTGAAAATAGACTTAAAAAAATGATTCCCGTGTCTAGGCGTTTTTTCAGATCACGTCATTTTTTTAAGTGCGATCCAATAAAATGTTAACCACGGTATTCGGCACATAATAAATATAACAGCTTCGATAACAGCTAGACTGTATATTTTTAAGAAAAATTTATTCACTGAATAAATGGACGACCATTAAAATTATTTATTTGTTTTAAAATTATTTTAATTATATACAGGGTGTGCACATTTACGAAATTCGGATGTTTCACGTTCGTGGTCCATTGAACGTTTCTGAGGAACGGCAAAATACGAGGTGTGTTCAGAAAACAACGGGAATTGTTAAATTTCGCGGGTTTGGAGGGTCCAGTTGTCTTAAAATTTTCTTTATAATGTTGGTATACATGCCCCCGAAGTATGATAAAAACTTAAGCTGTTTTAATTGTTTACTTTATCTACGGCAGCCGCTAAGGTTAGACGTGTTTTATCAGCTCGGCGATTTTTCGTTCGTTAAAAGAAATGGATCAAAGAATTTTTATCCAATTTTGCTTAAAAAATGAAATAAAATCTGTGAAATGTTAACAAAGGCCTATAGTGAGTCTGCTATAAGTAAAACAAGAGTTTACAAGTGGTATAAGAGTTTCCAAGATGGCCGTGAAGACGTTGAAGATCACGAACGCCCCGTAATTAAAAAAAAAATCAAAAATTAAAACCAGATTTTTTTTTTACTTTAAAAAAATTAAAATTGTTATTTTCTTTAAGTATAACAGCTAGACTGTATATTTTTAAGAAAAATTTATTCACTGAATAAATGGACGACCATTAAAATTATTTATTTGTTTTAAAATTATTTTAATTATATACAGGGTGTGCACATTTACGAAATTCGGATGTTTCACGTTCGTGGTCCATTGAACGTTTCTGAGGAACGGCAAAATACGAGGTGTGTTCAGAAAACAACGGGAATTGTTAAATTTCGCGGGTTTGGAGGGTCCAGTTGTCTTAAAATTTTCTTTATAATGTTGGTATACATGCCCCCGAAGTATGATAAAAACTTAAGCTGTTTTAATTGTTTACTTTATCTACGGCAGCCGCTAAGGTTAGACGTGTTTTATCAGCTCGGCGATTTTTCGTTCGTTAAAAGAAATGGATCAAAGAATTTTTATCCAATTTTGCTTAAAAAATGAAATAAAATCTGTGAAATGTTAACAAAGGCCTATAGTGAGTCTGCTATAAGTAAAACAAGAGTTTACAAGTGGTATAAGAGTTTCCAAGATGGCCGTGAAGACGTTGAAGATCACGAACGCCCCGTAATTAAAAAAAAAATCAAAAATTAAAACCAGATTTTTTTTTTACTTTAAAAAAATTAAAATTGTTATTTTCTTTAAGTATAATTTTTGTATTATGTATAAAACAAAATTATTTATAAAAAATTAGAGAACTAAAAATCTGTTGTAGGTTTTAAAAAATAATAAGAATGGCTGTATAAAAAAATTTAAATGACGTGATTTCGTGAAACGGCGAGACACGGGTACGTTTTTTAACCTTTATTTTTAAAATCTGTTAAAAATTTTTCATGGGAGGTAAATCGTGTGGCTGTGTTATTATATAATCTATAAAATGTTTGTTATCATTACAAACTACTTATTCAATTAGTTAACAGATCCAGTAGGTTATAAACTTGTAAACGATGTTATAATAGGCGGGTCAAAATTTACGAATGACGTATATTCAAACATGGGCGTAGTCAGGGGGTGCAGTTGAACCCCATTGAAGGCCTGGAAAAAATTATTCGTATGGACACTACTAAATTGTTGGCAAATTATATTATCTGCCGAAAATCATTAATTAAAAATAATGTCCGGATTCTTTGAAAATTATGCAGTGAAGTATGCAAACATAACTCTTTGACAGTTATTTTTTTTACTTATTATAAAACCATTAACAGCGTATTTTAGACTAAAATTGTTAGTATTAAGTTATTGTTCATAAGAGAGAAACCATGCTAGAAATAGATATTGGACTTGTAACTTGTATTTCTTTACACATCTATTATAACATGTACATATGTGACTTCACGCGCTCTATTCAAAGTCATCGAAGTGTTTTGTATCTTAAGTTTTTGAAATGGTTCCCGAAATATGTTTTAGAAACGTAGGATATTGTTTTTTAATAACAAAATTGTATGCGTAGATTTCAGTTGTGCAATAAAAAATTGTCAACCCTATAGGGTCCATATATGGACAAACTCGTATAAGTAGATTCCAGATATAAAATACAAAATTGCATGTTTCAACCCCATTGACCAAATAGGACCTTTTTGAAAGAACATTTATTTTATTATAAAAAATTGCAATAAAATAAAAAAAACAATTTAATTAATATTTTTTAAGGTTCATTTAAAAAGTTTTTATAAAAATTAATGTTCGTTTTTAATAAAAATAAACAATTAAATTTCCTATTTTTTTTTAAGTAGTGGCATTTTTAAAGCAAGGAATTTCTCTACGACTACTTAAGAATAGTAACATTCTAGTGTAATTTTTGATCATAGAAAGGATGTTTTTCTGCAATAATGTGCGAGAATATTCCCACTCTTGTTTAAGAATGGTCACAAGTAACGACATCTCCTGGCTGTTTACTAAACGTAAAAAATTTAAAATAAATTAAATATTACTGTATTATTTATTAATTAAAAAATAATAGCAGTTGTACAGGGCTCCCAGCAGGTAGTTTTTTTAAAGACTTGTCTATATTTTTGTCTTAAGTCTATAAAAGTCTATTTTTTTACCTAAACTCTATAAAGTCTATATTTTCTGTTAAAATCAACTATTAAAACATATTTTTTTAAATATAAATATTCACAGTTTTATAAATATCGAAACCACCGATTTGCTTACTATACTTTTTCTACGACAAATACCCATTATGATCTAAAAATAATTTAAATTTAATATTTTTATAGAAAGACATCTATAAAACAATAGAGTAACTAACTTGGGAATCTGACAATACTAATACGTATAATGTAAAAAAAATATGTGTAAATCGAAATGGTTCCCTTGAAAATAAATCGTATAATCCGAAATAGAAGCAGTTTTTTTCAATGAAAGTAAATAAAATGTTTTATTGGCCGTAGAGTCTACCCGAAATTAAGTTAAATCTAGTTTACGCCGAAATTAAAAGGTCAGTACACTGTTCATATAAACTTTTTAAATATTGGGGTTGAGAAACTATTTAATACTTTTGTATTTGTGTATTAAGATAATACCATAATTTTCACAACTGTCAACTAACTTCAGCCTGTGACTAAAGCGCCATAGAGCCATAGCTTGTCAATGTGTATTTAAAAGATCACTTAGTGTCATGGAAACATGTGTGTTTTAAGGGTGAGAGTAGAAAAACTATATTCCTTCCGATTTTTGGGTAGTAATTTTTGTTTAAATAAGAAAAACATATAAATGAACCTGTTATTGTATTTATTAAAATCTTTTTATGACTGCTTTTTAGGCATTGTATTTTATTCTTATTTTGTCAAGTAAAATATACGTCCACCCATTTTGTATCTATTTTAACTCTGTATTATCCCTTGGGCAAGTTTACATAAAAATAAACATTAAATAAATTAGTTTTAATCAAACAAAACCCTACAAAATATCATATGTCTGGTCTGGAAAGCAAATAGTGTTTAGTACAAAGGAAGTTTCCGTTTACTTGATTATATATAAACTTGTTATAAATAAGTTATACTATTATATGAGTACCTTAGATGCAAAACTCGGTTTTTGCAAATTAAAAAATAAAATAAAATTGGCTTTAAATTCTGTTTAGTGTTCGTCCTAGATAAATGGCGTTCATAAAACTTGATACATAATAATATTATATTATATATATTATTATGTATCAAGTTTTATAAACGCCATTTATCTAGGACGAACACCAAACAGAATTTAAAGCCAATTTTTTTTTTTTTTTTAATTTGCAAAAACCGAGTTTTGCATCTAAGGTACTCATATTTCATCTCTAAAATCCTCCATCTTATATAACTGAAGAGCAACTATGAGAATATAAAGTTACTTGTCAAATAAATATAATTTCAGATTAAAATAATATTAAAAAAAAAATCATTTGTGTTTTGTGGTAGTGATTTTAAGTTCCCATGGATATGCATAAAACGTTAAAATGTGTTATTTTTTTCTATTTATCCCTATTTTATCGCAAGAGATACGGTCTCGTGTCTCACGAAATTAAAGGATAAAAGTACAGCCATTATTCAAAACAAGTCTCAACAATTTTTTTCTTTGGAAGGTAAAACAAGATTTATTCCTACACTGCTTTTAAACAATGATACTTTTTCCATTTAAATTGTTACACATTGAAAGTTTTAGGATTTAATTTTCTTTAGTATTGCGTATAGAATGTTGAATTATATTATTTGTACGTTACAATAATTTTGAACTCTGTTAATGGTTTAAATCGTTTAAGGTCTATTTACACACATCATACTGCAGTAACGTCCCTTTATTTTGAATAAGTAAACACGTCCGACACACTTTAAACATTTTACTTAAACACCCTGTATTTTGGAGACAAAGTAATTAAAATAAAATACGGCTTGTTTTTACGATATACGAGGTGTGTTCAGAAAATATCGGGAATTTTCGTTTTTTGAAACAAATATTTATTTATTCGTCTACATTAATGTTGTCGCCTTCAAAATAGTCCCCATTGGATATTAGGCACATGTGCCAGCTCTTTTTCCAATACTCGAAACACTTCTAAACTCGATCTTTGGGATTGCCTTTAGTTCTTTCAGCGATGCGCTTTTAATGTCATCTATGCTTTCAAAACGACCGCCCTTTAAGGTTCTCTTTATTTTTGGGAATAGGAAAAAGTCAGACAGAGGCATGTCTGGCGAATATGGAGGCTGGGGCATCATTGCAGTATTGTTTTTGGCCAAAAATGTTGTTCAAAATTTAACAATTTTAGAACAAATTTTGCTGTCACGCTTTTCATACCCAAAACATTCGAAAAAATTTCATGGGATGAGCCAATCGATATACCAACATCATCAGCGACTTCTCTGATGGTTTATAACCATTTATTCCATGTTTTTATCGGTTGTTAATGTGCTTGTGCGTTCGGGGCGTTCGTCATCTTCAACGTCTTCACGGCCATCTTGGAAACTCTTATACCACTTGTAAACTCTTGTTTTACTTATAGCAGACTCACTATAGGCCTTTGTTAAAATTTCACAGAATTTATTTCATTTTTTAAGCAAAATTGTATATAAATTCTTTGATCCATTTCTTTTAACGAACGAAAAATCGCCGAGCTCATAAAACACGTCTAACCTTAGCGGCTGCCACAGACAAAGTAAACAATGAAAACAGCTAAAGTTTTTATCATACTTCGGGGGCATGTATACCAACATAATAAAGAAAATTTTATGACAACCGGACCCTCCGAACCCGCGAAATTTAACAATTCCCGTTATTTTCTGAACACACCTTCCTACATATGATTTATCCTTTTTTTATCGGATATGTTTTATTTATTATAATAAAAAAAGTGTTTTTATTAATTTTATTTTTTAAACAAAGTTTCAAAAATATGTTATATAGTACTTACCATATTGCCAATCAAATGCAAAATTGAAATATGTGCCCATGGAATGTAGATCCATGGCTGCTAATAACAATAGATACAGTCCCATACAAAAATCAGCAAAAGCGAGGTTGCAAATAAGAAACCTGAAACAAGTTTTAATAAAATGTACTATTTTTTTTAAAAGGTAGATTATTTAAAACAGTGTGTTTTTTGCACTTATTGAATTACTATAGTATATAGTATTATATATAAAATATATATATATATATATATATATATATATATATATATATATATATAAATTATATATATATATATATATATATAAAATTTAGGTAAATGTATATTTTTTAAAGATTATTATATTACTTAAAAATTGCATTAGCAATGACTTAAATATAATAAAAACTTGATTTATGAATATCCCTTTTAACTCTTTGGACTTTTATCGAATTTAAAAGGACCAACACCTAATAACTGATCAAATATGTACATATTTACATCGGGAATAAAAAAGATTTGGGTATGAGTTCTCCTGCAGGGTCCTGACAACCTTTTCGTCAGTGTACCTAGGCACGATTTGAAATATAATATGTGTTCAAATGTGGATAAAAACGAATAAATTTCCCTAAGGATTAAATGACCTTATGTCATATCAGAATGTTCACTTCAAAAAAGTTTTTCGGATCTCCTGAGAATAATTGCAGTAAAAAGAGTTAGGATAATTCAGTGTTGCCAAATTAAACTCTTAATGATAATATGAATCACAATAATTTGGTTTTTGTAAATTTTATTTAAATATACCTACGAGTAAAAATAAGTAAAATATAATTTAGACTATTTTACTCATTACTCTTTGGACCAAGTATATTTCGTCGTTAATTTCACAAAGTGTCGTAACTCCATTCGTCGTATCTCAAAAAAATCCTATTTTGGAATGGATCAAAAAGTGTAACCTTATATAAAAATTAAACCTCCGTCCTGAAAAATAATAAAAATTAGATACGACACTTTGTAAAATTAACTATGATTTGTGTGTTTTTCTAACAATTATGTGTATAATAGTTATAAGTTATGTGTATAATAGTTTTAAGTTACTTATACTATACTTATAATCTTAAAACCTATTTTAATAATTTGCCATTTTATCTTTACTTTGTAGGTATATTCAATTATTGTAAATTAATTTTCTTTTTGTATTGTATTTTGTAGTATTTCAGTATACTGCTATTTTTTTGTATTTACGTGTTCGTTGCCCAAGTTAGAGTAATATTAAAAATAGACTTTACAAAATGTTAATTAATAAATGTTTTATTCAGTTCAAGTTTTTTAACCATAGTTTTTAAATTATAATTTATGTTATTTGTTTTTTTAGGTAATTTATTGTAATTTTATTTATTTACTTTTAATACTTTTCTAGGTAAATTATTGTAACTCTGTTCAAAATTCATAACAAGGCTGCCATTTCGTGACCTTGGAATGATAAGGTTCTAAGTGCAGTTGCGCCGTTAAGCAAAAATGACTTATATAGAATAGTAATTATTGCAGGTAAGGCATTTTTGCTTAACGGGGCAGCTGCACTTAAAACCTTGTCATTCCAAGGTCACGATTTTGCAAAATTTGAAAAACCTTCGAACTATAGCATACTGTGCAAATAGTGTTTAAAATGACAATTCTATTTAATATTTTATCTGAATTTTAACTTAAAGCTTACTTCAGCCCGTGGGTGAAATGCTATTTCGCCCACTAGGGGGACGAGTAAAATTTCTCCCACCGCTTAAAGTTAAGAAAAGAAGTGTTGAATTATAGTTATTTATGTCATAAGACTGAGAAGTAAGTCTTTTTGTGCTGAGCTCAAAGTTTGACTAGTTTAAAATTGATCGATGATGATGATGAGCCGAATGACATATGAATATTTTACAGACTAGGATGTAAAAAACTTGACCTGATTGGTCTAAATTATTTTTACAGCCCAGATGATGATAGAATACTTTGACGAGCGTCTAGCCGTCACACCTAGAGGAGGAAAATATCAAAACGAAGTAAAACGAATATTTACGATTGAAGTCGATTGAAGTACGCGGGAAAAAATAAATGATCATGTGCACTGCAGTGATGTTACCAACTATAAGGAAATACGAAGAATTTAAAAATTAAGTACAAAGTTACGTTTATAACCTTACCATCCAAGAATTCCCATTGAATATAATTGTATGATATTTTCTTAAATTATGCTATTTTACAAAATAATGCACAAGGTATTTAGTTAATGACATATTTACTTAAATAGAATACATTTTTACGTACAGATTTTAAAAACCGGGTTAATTAATCATTTTTTAAAATGCAATGTGAACTACGACTTTTCCACAAATTATATGTGCATAAATAATGCAGCATTATCTATATGTATAATAATACACAAAATATTGTTGACACAAGAAGGCATTTATTTGGAATTGTAACTGTTTCGTTTGATTCGGTTTATGTAAAAATTTAAAATAAGTTTATATACACATTGTTTTTGTTTTATTATACCTATCAAGTAGGTATTTATTGTAAGTAGGTATATTTTTATATACACATTGTTTTTGTTTTATTATACCTATCAAGTAGGTATTTATTGTAAGTAGGTATATTTTTTAAATTGGTAATTCAGTTTAGGTAAGAATCTACATAATAATGTATAAATATGACAATTACTTTTAAGTTAGTTTAAGATAAAAAGATCTATAATTTTGAAAAAGGATCATGTTCTTTAATAAATAAATAATAATGTTTAAACGAATTTTTATTAAAGTATAGGTAGGTAAGTACAGGTAAAGAGTTTTATCTTATGTGTAAATAAATTTTTAATTATTTCAGTTAAATTAAAGAAAAATTAAATCATTTGGTTTTGCATCAAAAACTATAGTTATTATAATAATTATTGAACTAAACATAAAAAATAAATCATTTGGGTTTGCATCACATACTAATAATTATTGCACTAAACATAAAAAGAAAAATCAAATAAATTATTATTTAGCATCAGCATTATAAAATAAAACATTTGGTTTTGTATCACAAAACTAATTATACCTACATAAAAGGAAAATCAAATAAATTATTATTTGGCATCAGCATTATGAAATAAACTTATTGAAATATTATTTTTTTCACTCTTCGATGGTTTTTTCAAACTTAATTTTTTTGTAGATTTTTTGTTTTTGGTTGAGATGAATTTCTTTTTAGGCTCATTCTCCTTTTCCGGCACCCTTTCTGAATCTTCACTTAACTGATTTGTATTTCCTAAAGCATTTTTTCGTTTTTTTCCTCTTTGGGGTTCAATATGTTTATTTGAAGGTTCTCTTTGACAAAAGTCAGTATTTATAAAAACATTGCTGCCATAAGATTTGCTAGATAAAACATGGGGCAGTGGCAACAAAGCCTTTTCCACGAACTTATTTTCTTCAACAGTTGTAACCATAGACATAATTTCATTAAATAGTCTTAGGGCCGGTTTTTCAATCGTTTGTTAAGTTTATCTTACGGTTAATTTCCTAAGATACTATTGTTAACACAATAGTATCTAAGAAAGTTAACCGTAAGATAAACTTAACCAACGATTGAAAAACCGGCCCTTATTGTGTTAGATTTTGCTGCATCCACATTATTATTTAAGTCATGAGATTCATTCGACAAAGGATTTTTGAGGGACCTTAAAAACAGTAATTGTAATGTATAGTTTCAATCAAAAAATGTTTCACTTACTTCAATATAATATTTTCCTCCACTGTTCTGGGATCACAATCAATTACCATGTCACCAATATCTTCTCTTTCTTCAATTGTACTAAGTTGTCCTTTGAGAAACATCCCCAATAAATGAACATGTTTACACATATTCCACGAAATTGAAGAGTCTGGACAAGAACAACGATAAGAATGGATACAAATAGCACATTGGGTACATTTTATGTTGCAGTTGCATATAAAATTAGTAGTAGATGGTTTTATTTGGTATATGTCTGCACCAGAAGCAGATGATACAGTCCATGTTCCATTATCTTCCATTATTATGCATTGATCTTTGACTTCAGTTGCTCTTTTATGTCTTTTTCGTAATTCAGAGATTTTTTTTGTCAATTTTCCTAAAAATTGCACAATATATACCCACATTAATACATAAAATCAACTCACCTCTGTTTAAAGTTATAAGCCTGTCGAATAACTTATCGCGAATAAAATTTAGAATAGCATGCACAGCTTTATCCAGTCTTTTTACTTTTCTTCCTTCAAGATAAATATATTTTAACACTTTATGCATACTTTCTAGGTGCATATTGGTGTTTATACCTGAATATAATCTGTAGCAGTATGCCCATGACATCTTATTAGCACAATAGTAATTTTCAAAGTATTTTCCAAATTCATATGTGTTTGGATTCCTTAGCATGGTTTTAACAGCTTTAAATAATAATTTTTCAAAGGCAACTTGGTCTGTTTCTTCCAGTAAAGTTCTCACCACCTTGTATATTTCAACTCTATCTTCTAAATTAGCAATTTTCTCATTAATATTTTTTCTCCAAGCCTTGTCCACATGCCAAGAGCAAAAAATTCTAGTTTCAACTGGGCCCATTGATAATTGCCAAGCATTATAGAAAGATTGCGCTAAATCCGACATAAAAACTTTTGTGTGCAAGGGGTGTTCCAAAGCATGCGCAATAGCATCAAACACGATTTTGAATAATGTTTCATCGGTTCTATTGCTAAATATGAATGTGCATGGAAATCCTTGTCTTAAGTCATCAAGAACTAGTAAAGTACTTAATTGAAAGTCATAGGGGTTCATTCCGTGGGTACTATCAATACAAATGCAATCACCTCCATACATCTGGAGCATTTCAATCTGAGACACGTTCATAATCATCAACAGAAAATCATCTTTTTGCAGAGTAGGAAAGTTGTCATCAAAAACTCCTTGTTTCTTATACAATCTGACTATAGAATCTCCACTATGTTCCTGGGTTTCTTTCACCCATGCATCAACACTAGTATAATCATTTGCGTCACGTATGGCATCATTATTAAGATTGTACATGCTTTCTATGTTAAGTAAATCTTTTCTTGTCAATAAGTGTAGCCTTGAGATATCATAATTA